GGAAGGAAGGAAGGAAGGAAGGAAGGAAGGAAGGAAGGAAGGAAGGAAGGAAGGAAGGAAGGAAGGAAGGAAGGAAGGAATCTTCACATGCCTAAGCAAACACTTGGGGACATCACAATATCAACAGAGACGGGACAATCCAAGAAAACCTACAGTCAAGTCAAGGCAATTTTCAGGCAGCTTAAAGAAGGAAACAAGATTTCCCAAGAAAGTGGAAAGTCTGCAGTGTTGCAGTCATTACAGCTCCAGAGTTCCCCCATGTGCAAGGGGGAATGTACTTTTAAAACATGAGGGAAAAAGTTCACCTACGATTATGGCTGCCAATACCATCTTGGCCAGTAATCCATGTAATCACTATGACTGATGGTGGCTGAAAGTGGCTGTTCCGGCAATAGGGTTGCTAACTGAGTTGGGGAAATCCTGGAGATTAGGGGGTGGAGCTGGGAAAGGTGGGGTTTGGGGAGGGGAAGTACCACAGCAGGTGTGTCATGCCATAGAGTCCGCTCTCCAGAGCAGCCATTTTTTCTAGGGAACTGATATTTGTCATCCGGAGGTGAGATGTAATTCCAAAAGATCTCCATCTGGATGCTGGCAGCAACCCTACCTACAATTACTGCCCAATGTACAGACTCTGTTACCTTTTGCTGTTGGATAAAAAACGAATCGACCAGACTTCTCTGGTTGTTTTCATCCAGTTCTTTGAGGTGTTCTCTGAGGATGTCCTGTATGAAGGCGTGCATTTCTTTTTTGTTACTCAGGACCTTCTTATGAGCACCAAGAACGGAACCCAAAAAAGGAAACAGGTTATACATCTAAAAACAACAACAACAACAGCATACCGTGAGAAATAATTAATAAAGTCCCAAACGAAATGGTACTTCTTAGGCAGAAATCTCAAGGTACGTCTACCTAAATATCATTGCTTATTTTCCAGAGAGGAATAATCAATGACTCGGAAAGATCTCTTATGAAGCTTGGGGTTTCTGTCTAGTACAGTGGTGGCGAACCTATGGCACGGGTGCCATCGCCCCAGCCAGGCCCAGGCTATCATTAAAGTGTCGAATTCTCCGCCAAATCATTTTAAGTAAATGAAAGCATTTGGGATTGCTTTCCTTACTTTGTCTGGATCATCATAAGTTAATGTATGAGTTGTTTTTTCTAAAGTAAAACCTCAGTATCCAGGCTAAATTGCCGTGTTGGCACTTTGTGATCAATAAGTGGGTTTTGGGTCGCAGTTTGGGCACTCGGGTATCTAAAAGGTTCGCCATCACTGGTCTAGTGAATATGTGTGACCCGGCAGAGTTTACCTGTTCTACAAACTAAGGCCATCCACACAGGTTACTTGCCAGAGGCTCAATACTATTGCAAATAGTATTGCTGGTCCCTGGCCTGGGACCAACGTATCTAAGGGACCACCTCTTCCCATATACGCCTTGAAGAGCTTTATGCTCGAAAGATCAACATGTCCTGGTGGTCTCTGGCCCGAAGGATGCCCGTTTTGCCTCAACCAGGGCCGGGGCTTTCTCTGTCCTGGCCCCTGCCTGGTGGAACACACTCCCTAGGGCCCTGCGGAGTCTCCTTCAATTCTGCAGGGCCTGCAAGATGGAGCTCTTCTGCCAGACCTTTGGTTGAGGCAGCGGGGGCCCATCTATGGCCTCCCTGAGGTTGCTGTCACCCGTCTGTCACCCGTCTACTGACCACCGACAACTGGCCTTTAACCCATGGTACCATTGGGCCAGAACGTTATAGCCAACTGACGGGGTTCCAAGCTTTACCCATTGTTTTAATTGTTATACTGTTTTACCGTGTTTTAATGTTTCAATGTTTTAAACTGAAATTGGATTTATTCTAATGATGTTACCCGCCCCGAGCCCCTCCCGTGGGAAGGGCGGGATACAAATGCAAATAATAAATAAATAATAAAATGTGTGTTTCCCCCTGTTCCCCGTAGCATCATGGTACATTTGTATACCTCCTGGCCTTTTCCTGGCATTTCTCCAAACTTTCTCAAACCTGTGAGAAAATTTTTGTGAAAGATCACAGGAAAGTCTCGATATCTGCCATGTGGGTTGAAAAGTACAGATTTTCCTGCCCACATGGTAGCCATGTCCCCAGATCTTGTCTCCTCAGCAGTCGTTCCCACACACACACACACAGATTCTTTTCCGTTTGAAAATGGGCATATTGATATGCTGATATAAAAAAATGTGTAAAAGAATCCTGAATTCCCAGATTTAATTTTTTTTTTAAGTAAGTCTTCAGTTCCTTCCATTGTGGAGATAGAAGGGAAAGGCATATCTCCACAAAGGAAAAGGCTAGAGAGCTTATCCGGTGTACCCTCAAATACTGCTACACAGATACACGACAGCCCACTCTGCGGGTAGTGGACCTGCAAGCATTTTAAAGCAGATCCGAAATAGTTAGGATTACCGTGACTAGGGGGTTTGCTAGAGCCCGATTATTTTCCTTCACCAAGTTCAGCATTCTGACGAAGGCTCGGTCTTCGTAATCGTATCGCTCGCCAAACACTAAGGACGTTATTATATTGCCAGCCACAGCACTTGTAACTGTGTTAGGATCAAATGGTTTCCCTATGCAGGAAAAAAAAAAGTCAAAATGGAAACATTACATTATGGAATGAGCATCGCTATTACTTGTGCTTTGTGCATCAGCCTGCACATGCTGGGATAGCATTTATTGTACAGTCTGATGCTAGCCAGTCTAGTGCCAGGGTTCGATAGTCAGATCACACCACACAGCGCTTCATAATAAGTATTCTGTTTATTGATAGTTCATAACTATGACACGTGAACGTCTTTTGTCAGGAATGGCCCAAAGCAGCAGGGTACCCAGAGTTACACTGTTTCAAAACACCCCCCGTTATAAGCAAAAGCCAATAAGCATTGTGCGCATGGGCGGGGAAAAGAGAGCGGGCGAAATAGGAGCTGTTTGTTCCCAGCAGGTCAGGAGCAGCTGGAACCCCAAGGTCAGAAAAGCAAAAGCAGATAATAACCCAGACAGGAGACATTGTTAGTATACCAGGCAGAGGAGAGGAGGATCCTCCCCCACACACATTCCAGGGAATGGCAGTATTAACTGACATCAAGCCAGTTTTGTGTAGTGGTTAGGAGCGCGGACTCTAATCTGGGAGAACTGGGTTTGATTCCCCACTCCTCCACTTGCACCTGCTGGTGTGACCTGGGGTCAGTCACAAGTTATTTTAGAGCTGTTTTCTCATGAGCAGTTCTCAAAAGAGCTGTCTCAGCCCCACCTAGCCCACAGGGCATCTGTTGTGGGGAGGGGAAGGGAAAGGAGATTGTAAGCCACCCTGAGACTCCTTTGGGTAATGAAGGGTGGGGTGTAAATCCAATCTCTTCTTCTTCTTCTTCTTCCCCTTCTATTGCACACAATTAGGCTGTAGTTTGCAGAATGGGAGTTCCTGACTGAACCACCCCAAAGCAAGGCTTGGGTTCCATATTTTAATATCTTGTGTGGCAGAACAGCACCCACTGGCTTGTGAGTACCACTCCATTCAGTGCTCTGAGACATCCCGGTGCCCAGCAACCATTCCAAGTCTCTGCCTGGTGAGTCTCTCCCAG